CCAGAAATGTCAGTCAGGGTGTTTTGTGTCTTGGTAGATGGAAGACTGCAGGTATGGTATGCCCTGGTCACCAATTCAGGGTCATAGCCCTTGTCCAGGAACCTATTAGTTAAGACTAAACCCTGTTCCAAGTAATCAGTATTTTGTGTGCAGTCTGCAGAACTGGCCCTTCAGAATGTTTTACATCCACTTAGGATGAGGGCAACTTTTAAAATGTAAATGTGAGTTTCCAGCAGATGGCTTAAAATGAGTTTTGGACACAATGCTGCTCTCTAGATGTGACAACTCTAAATCCAGAAAAACTAGGGACTCTGGCCTGCTGGCATGGGTGAAGGATAGACCTAAAAGTTTATTATTTATAAATAGGGCCGTCCCAAATTATGATGACATCATCTATATACCTGTCGTAGTAGATGATATGTTCAGCAAAGGGGTTATTCCTCCAGATGCATGTCTCCTCCCACCACCCCATAGTGAGGTTGGTATAGCATGGTGCAAAGGACGCACCCATGGCAGTGCCATGTACCTGAAGGTAATAGCTCCCCTGAAATTTGAAATAGTTGTGTTCCAGGCAGAACCTAACACCCTCTAGGATAAAATGGTCTTGTTTCTGGTGGAGGTGGGATTCCATGGCCAAAAAATGTCCCACAACTGTAAGGCCTGCCTCATGAGGGATGGAGGTGTAAAGAGAACAGACATCCAGGGACAGCCACACATAGGAGTCTTTCCATTCATAATTGGACAAAGTGTCAAAGAGTTGTAACAAGTCTTGTATATATGATGGGAGAGCCTAAACAGGATCAGATCATCTAGATTTCTTTTAGACATCCCAATCGGAGTATGTATTCTGCTCTTTTCTCCTTTGCTGTATCCCACGATCTCCGGAGAACACCAGCGGTCCCTTCCCTGTACACTCCTCCCCTTCTCTTCCCCTTGATTGATTCCCTGATCTGACAGCTACTATATACCCTGTGTTCACAGGGGTGGGCTTGCTTGACAAAGGAGGTGGAGCTTCTGAAATGCTTTGCAGCCCTCCCTCCATTCACAGCACCCTTCAGTTCTCCCTACTGGCGGGAAGGCATTCAGAGACGCCGTTCATCCATCGCTGCGGGTCTCCTCCAGGGCCATGCATATTTCATCAGATCTACTCTTCTGATGACCCCTGCCTCTAGTGTCCTTCATCTGCCACAATAGCTGAGGGATTCTAAGATGTAAGTTTCTTTATAATAAAGTACTACTGCTTTTATCTACACTTACCTGGCACCGTGCTTGTCGTTCTTTTGCATACCTCTGTGGGACCCCCCCTGTCCTTGATGAGGAGCTGCCTGTCCGCTCATGTATTCCATAGCCTCTACGGTCCTTTTACCTGCACAGCCATCGGATGGACATGCTGATTGCTGCATTCTGAACACACCGATCCCGTCCAGAATTTTGCACCCCATCCATCCATCCGTGGACTGGTTTTATTCCTTTTATCCAATTGTGTTCACATTCTGATATAATTCAATTCATATAATAATTATTTATATTCTTCTGTGTGAGTACTGAAGGTTGTTCATTATTTTGATGATCATCTCTTATGTAAATTGGGAAAGCATCTGATCACACCGATCTTGGTGAGATTAGATAATGTAAGGGCAGAGGAGATATCTAGCTTCTGATAGACCCCAGATTTCTCAAAAAAGATTACATTGCAAAATACTCACCATGCCTCTTTTTAAATTTCTTGGGGTGTCTACTGTCCAAAAAGGGGTCGGGGGGGGGGGGGGGGGGGGGGGGGGGTTGGTGCTATCCTGGCATTTCAGGGCCTCCGAAACCATGATAGGTAGTGAGGAAGTGAAATGCGGAAGTTATGCACCTTCAGGTTTTCAAAGTGCTCATTGGATTTCAGGCTCCTGTATGTGGCTAGGCTCCCAAAAATCTCACGCATGTGGTATCCCCATACTCGGTAAAAGTAGCAAAATGTATTTTGGGGTGTAATTCCACATATACCCATGGCTTGTGTGAGCAATATATCATTTAAGTGACTGCGGTGATTGGTCACAGTAATCACATGGTACTGATAGTGGCCTAGTACATAGGACAGCAGGGGACAGATTGTGCTGCAGCACTTCCCGTGGGGTTACAGTGAGGCGCAATCCTGGGAGGTCATCATATGATGTCCACCCAGGATAACAGTGCTCCTGCCTGGTAGTCATATTACAACAGGCCAGGCAAAAAGAATTTGCCTGTAAATGTTTCACTTTAAATATTAACATCACTGCTCCTGTGCCAAATAGAATTTTTAAATAATGTTTTTTGCTTTGGTTCATTAGGGCAGTGCCCAGTATCCCATGTCATTTGACAATCCCTTTCCTATTAACCTAGAAAATGGGTAGAACTAATTTTTGATATTTGGGTTCCTTGAACTGAACCCAGGTATGTTTAAGCTCAACACTAGTCATAAGTAGTTAATAGAGAAGAACATTCAGTGGCCTGTTTGAGCAGAAAGCTTGCACCTTCAGAAGAAACATGCAATAATATTGAATCGTGAGAGCCTGGTGAATAAATGGACATTAGAAGCTTCACTGCGATATTTTGTAGGTCTTTAATATTAGCTTATTTCAGCTTATTATCCCCTCATGTGAATGATATAAACCAAGCATAGATACTGTATGTTAGAGGCACCTAGTGGTTCTATGTGCTACAAAGTTTCAATTTCAGTTTGAAAACAGGGAAAGCTGATAACTACAAATGCTAATGCTCTTTCATGGATCTGGACAGTTCATGATCTATTTAAAACCATATGTCCAAACAGAATGGGGAAGTATATTATACAGATATAAGTTATAAAAGGATAGATTTGTGGATAGAATGCATGTTGACTGTAGTTGTTCCTTAGATAAAAATGTTACTTCAGGTTTTGCTCTTGGCTAAGAAGCCAGGTGCTGGAAAAAAACATGAGGCCCTGTAAGTGTTAGGCTGGGAGTGCTGTTGCAGAAAAAAAATCACCACAGTGAATTACTGTGTAAGTAAAAAAAAATAATAATAATATTGGGACTGTTGTTCAGGAGGCTGGAAGATTTGTGTTGTGTTTTCATGTACCCCAGAAGGGAAGTCTTTCTAGTAAAGCGAAAGTTTTTCTAAAGAAAAACAATTGACAAAATACTGCAGCAGCCAGGTGATATTGATGAGATATTGATGAGATTTGGAAGTTCATTTCTAACAAGAGGCTGCATCTGCTATGGAATTATTAGTACATTTTGTAAATCACTGCGCAAACTGTTAGCGCTGTATAAATCCTGTATAATAATAATAATTGTAGTAGAGCACTCATATGAGCTGTGTGAGCAGCCATTTTAAAGCGGGTTTAATGCTAACATTTCCTATCCATGATATGTGCCTGCTATACCATGTACTGGTATGAAAAAAATATCCTGCTCTCTCTTTTTATTGCTTCTGTTTTGTGAAATCCATGGTGTTCCTGCCAGTTCATCTGCTTCCATATTAAAAACTGACCACACTAAGAAGGAGATCACATTGTGCTCAGTTCTCTAGCTATGGGCTGGGAACTTAGTGTGCACTCTCTCCTCCAATGATCAGACTTGTCCTGATCAACACTCACCCCCCCCCCCCCCCCACACAGTCACAGCCTTTCATCACTGGGAAGCTCAGTGTACTGTAACTTTTCCTCCCACCAGTTCTTATGCAGCTGAAAGGAGAGAAGCAGCGGGAATGCGATCACTTACAAAAAAAAAAGAAAAGGTGGAGGTGGGTACTTATTTTTTTTTTCTTTTTTTTTTATAGCTATATACAAATGTTTTGCCTTTTAATTCTTTTATTTTTTTTAAACTGAATGGGTTGTTTGCCAGTAGATGTGCTGTTCTAATCCTCCTTGCTATGCCCTGTGGATCACTGATTGAAAGTCCCAGCTTACTCTTCCAATCATGTACAGTAGCCTATGGACATGCTCTTTTGCCCTCCTCCTCTATTCTCTCAACCACACAAGCACAGATCCCCAGCCTCTGAACACACATCTTGGCCCACCTCCTCCACACTCAAGCAGTGATCCTGAGCCTCTTGACACACCTCCAGCCCACCCACTCTGATGCACTCTGAAGCATAGATTCCCAGCCTGTGGGCACGCCTCTCTATAGTCCTCCTTTGTCCACTCAAGCACGAAGCTCTAAGCAGGGGTGGCCAACCTGCGGCTCTCCAGCTGCTGCAGGACTACAAGTTCCATTATTCCTCTGCAAGTCAGTAACTTCCCATCTTTGCAATGCCTCATGGGAAATGTAGTTCCACAACAGCTGGAGAGCCACAGGTTAGCCACCCCTGCAGGGGAGAAAAAAATACACTGCCTGAAGACTCCTGGGATTTCTGACAATGATATCCCAGGAGTCATTGGGAACATGACAATGATATCCCAGGAGTCATTGGGAACAAACACTGTTATACGCCTAGGAGATCAAAGCAGGGAGTATAGTGAGAGAAGTATGTAGAAACTTTTTTTTAACTGTCTAATAGTGGTACAGGAGGGGGAATGGATTTCATAAAGAAGACATTTAAAAATAGGCTGAAGTTCTCCTTTAACTATGTTGTGTGTGCATACGCATAATCACAACACTGTGTTGCAGTAATGTATGTTACTTGCATTGTCATTTATTCTTAATGGCAATGCACCTGTATTGCAGCCCAGTGCAATGCCTTGTGATGCACTTCTGAAAATGTTGCATGCATGATCTTTGGCCCTCTGTGGTGCAATGGCCAGCTTATTTAATTGAATGGGTTGCCCTTACACAACACACTAATGTGTGTTGTGTAAGGGCAACCTTACAAACCACCATGAATTACCCATATCAGCAGACTGGGCTGGTGTGAACAATCAAATGTTGTGCATCATTTTTTTTCTAGATGTCCATCTTTATTTAGCACCTATAATGCATCCTGGATAATTCAATTTATTGGTTGACTATTTCTTTTAGAACATCACACCGTTACACATTTTTAGAGTGTCTAGCTCTTACATGCTTAAGAAGTTTCTGGGATTCTGATGTAGATCGATAGATGCAGTAGAATGCCCCTCCAATAAGAGCGACCACAAGTATGTTGAGGAAGATACGTGGTGTATATATTCCAGCTCTCTGACCCATAGTATGCTGGGCATGTTGACGTCTTATCTTATGCTCCTCTAGATCAACCTGGATATAAAAAAAAAAAAAAAGAAGTGTATTTAAAGAACTCATGAACCAATTTGTAAGATGTAATTGATGACAACCAGTTTATCATTCACTGTTGTGCCTATTGTCCAATGTGTTGAAAGTTCAAATGTGACTGCAATACTCTTGGGGATATATTTATACAAGATTCACACAAAACTTTCACCAAAGATTCACATTTTTTTTAGTTATTTTTGTTTAGAAAAATGAAAGGATCCTAGGTTAAAGTTATGTGAATTGTATGTGAAAACCTTTATAAAATACAGAATATCCCTAAAAGTCTGAAAAATGTGTAACTAGACCCCCGAAATCTCTAAATAAAAACACAAGTATCACCTGATTATTACTACAAACTGGAAACAGCCTAAGCAGGTCTTTACCATTGCATAACGTTTTTCCACTCTTCATCCTTGAAGAAGTCGATTTTCTTCAAGACTGCCATCTTCTTATCTTTATTTGAAGCCTACTGTTGCTAGCTGGACTTGCAACCAGTGTTTGGGAGGAAGTAAATAGACTGACCCAGAGCACTGTGTGCATCTGTTTTTCTCTTACGTTCATTGACGGACACAGCCTCTTCTTCATTATCCATAAACAAACAGGGTTTTATAGCCCCAACTACAGGAGTAGGACACTAGGCAGAAAAAAAAAAAAAAACACCACACCACAACACCTCAGCAACTCCTATGGGCAACCCTATCTGGGCATAAAACCCCCTCTCTGCTATATGCTTACAGTCATTACTGCCTAGTGTCTCAGGAGTATGAAAATGTCTTTTTGTGATGGGACTGGTTTTTTACATTTTTTCCCTTTTTAGCTTTCCCTGGAATTGTATTATCCTGCAGAGATCTTCTATCAACAGTTGGGCTGAATGACAGGCTGGATAATCTAGATCCAGTGGTCATCCCAGTCTGACCAGCCACCTCAGCTCTTGATTGGCCGCGACAATGCCCTATGGACCGGGGCAGCTAGCAAGTTAAATGTCTCGTGGGGACACATGACCGGGCGCGCCTATAGTCTGTGTCAGTGTTACCCTTGCCGACAGGCCCCCCACTTCGGTGGAGAGGAGGAACTGTCACGGGAGCTTTACCCACATGCTCCTGCTGAATTGGACGGTAGATTCCCCCTCCACGGACACCGTGTGGGGCATGGGTACTCCTTGGGGTGGTCGGTCCCCCCTATTTGTTCCCCCTGCTACAGGTGGCACTGGGTGTGAGACAATGGGAATGTTTTCTCCGTAGGGCCACAACTATGCCTTCATCAGGTGAGCCTTATCCCTGTCGAGGTGGGGAGCACCCTAGCCCTGGACACGGTGGGACTGCCTGTGCCTGGTACCATGGGAGATGTGGGCTAGAGAATAGCTCAAAGCTCCCAGTTGGAGACCGCTCCCAGTGGGGGAGACAGAGGGTTCATCGAGGGGTCATTGGGCCAAGCCAACACACAGAGGTCTCAGTTCCAAGAGCCTATTCTCAGACCTGAGAATACACTCACCAGTCATTTTATTTAGCTATACCTTGCTACAACTGCTACCCAGTGTTGTCTTCTGCTGCTGTAGTGTGTGACATGTTCTGCATTCAGAGATGGTATTCTGCATTCCTTAGTTGTAAGGAGTGATTGTTTGAGTAACTATTGCCTTTCTATCATCTCAAACCAGTCTGCCCATTCTGACATTAACAAGGCATTTTCCCCAGTGTGGTTACCCATGGCAACCAAATTACCTGAGATCAACATCACATTCTTCTGTTTATCATCTATCAATAGCAACATTCCACAATGGATTACCAAGATCATTATGGTCACCATGCAGAACCCTTGTCCCATTGTTTGCTAGGACAGTGTCTGAGAAGGGACCACATACAGGCCAGCGGTTATTCCCTATGGAACCTTCCCAAAGTTTCACATTGCCTCCTGTTGTCCAATACTCCATAAGCAACTGTTTTACCAACCATTCTTTTTCAACACATTTTTGTAGACAAGTCTCTTTAACCCATTTCTGTGTCCTCTGGTGCTTTAACCAATACCTTACCTGTCCAAAAGTGCTCTAGAGTGATTATCAGATCATACACAACATCAGTAAGAAGCAACCCAGCACCCTGTGAGACACTTTACAACATGGGTTTACACTCTCCCCCCCATTACATTTATCAACACTGTTATTTTCTGTTAGAGTGTCTCCATGTGTCTTAATCTGCACCTCTTGGTGTGTCACAGACAGAATTCTTGCTACTGCCATGTCTGTTCTGAGCTCTCCCTTCTCATGAGGTCTAGCGGGTGAGAGACTGTATACGCACCATGTACCAACCACTGCTCAGCCGCACCTCGGATCGCACACCATCAGACAGAGAGACTTCTAACATATTTGTCATTTTTGATTCCTCTAGCAGTTCCCCTGAGCACCTTCCACACAAAACTGCCCCTGGAAGCAATCTCACAGAGAACCGTGAGACCCCTTTCCAGACAAGTAAATAGCACAGCAGTAACCATTACCAATTTTGACCAACATTGCGTAACATCACCTGTACTATCTGTCTCCAACGATTGTGTCAGGGCTCCGGGGTATGACCAGAGGTATGTGAACTGACGCAGGGAAACGCAGACTTCAGATATGTTATAAACAATATAATTTATTAATACTAACAATACATAAACGCAGTGCAATACTAAAACATAACACAGTGCAAACGAAACAAACCAAACCACCCACAGATAACAATACATACAGTGCGAGCGTAGTCAGGCAAGCCGGGTCAATAACAATCGGGCAGGTAGGAACAGGAGGAGCAGGCAGAGAGTAGTCAGGTCACGAGCCGGGTACAGCAACTAACGGGCAGGTAGGTACAGGGGGTCAGGCAGAGAATGGTCGGGGTCACAAGCCAGGGATCAAACAGGAGAAGTCAGCAGAGGTCCGGATCAGGCAGGGTCGGCAACGAATCAGTCAGACAGGAACAGGAAACGCAGGTAACAAGATACAGGGGCCCATAGAAAACCACACACCAAGGCACAGACTGCAGGTCTGGCCATCCCTTAAATACACCTGTAATCAGCCTCAGGTGTTTTGGCTGACTGCAGGGTTGAGTCTCTGATTGCTGAGAGCACCCGCTGGCCAGCCCTGGTACTGCAGCCCACAAGGCAGATGAGTCCCACCACTAATGGTGAATCTATTCCTGAGTGAGGGTGTGTTGCACTTGACTGCTGAGCTCCAGAAAGGCCTGAGAAGCCTGGGGCTAAAGTGCCCTGCCCAGCCCAGGCAGGATGGCGGATCCTGGGCCTGGGTCCAGCGAGGAGAAGGCCCTGGAGGGGCTTAGTACCGGCCTCTCTTTTCCACCAGTGGAGGATCTGAGAACGGCCCCTAGGAAGGGGGAAGCTTACTCTACCTACCGAGACCGTGTGGCCGCTCGGGCCAGGTTAGTAGAGAAGGAGGAAGCCAAGCTCCAGAAGCTGACTCTGGAGCTAAAGAAGCTCCGGTCATCCTATGACCGTGTATGGTCTACAAAGCGGCAGGCCATGAAACCGGGCCTGGAGGCGCTGGAACTACGTGTGTCACAGCAGGGGAGGTATGTGGCGGCGCTGCAGCGCAAGAGCGGCGTCCTAAGTGAGAAGTATCTGAATGAAGCGAGATTTAAGGCTGCAAGAAGCCGCAGTGTTGCGGCGATGCGGGGTCCGGTGGAGGAGGCCTCCTCGGTGGAGGAATTGTCGGGGGAGTTGCTGGTGGAAGGCGAGCAGGGGCAGGCTGAGCCCGCAGCACCCTCAGAGGAAATGGCGCCTAAAATGGAAGACAGCGCGGTCGCAGGATCATCAGAGTCCCTCCCCCCTGGGCAGCTGCCTGTGGATTGGGGGACCCAGGTGGAGGAGGCGGAGATGGCGGGCGGATTGCAGTTCCTGGCAGAGGCGGTTGCAGAGCTGCGTGGAGCCGACTTCAGGTTTACGTCCGAGGACTCAGAGGAAGAAGCTGAAAGTGATGTCATCCCCCGCAAGCCGGCTAAGCCGGTGGTGAAAGAGCATGCTGCCTTTGTCATGCTGCAACGCATCCCCAAGGACGTGTTGGCAAAGGCAGGGGAGCCACTGGAAGGGGAGAAGGAGAAGGACTCTGCTGATTGTGTTGGTGAGATGGTTCTGGACACTGGGGTAGCGGGTATAATGCCTGCAAAATTGTCTGAGGTGCAGGTTAGCCCTACAGTCCTGGCTAAGGGTGTTTCCCCTCCGGTGGTGGTCCCACTAGGCCCCGCCCCTTTGGGGGGCATGGTGGCCTCTGGTGTGCAACCAGCAGGTCCCCCGGTTTCTCCTCAGGGGGCTCCAGGTTCTCAGGTCCAGGCTCCTGCGGGTCAGGCTCAGGTGGGTTCTCCTGCTGGTATGGGTGGTCCCCAGCCCCGGGCTCCCCCAGGTCATGGCTCATCAGCGTCTGCCCCTTCAGTTGCTGCTGCTGGTGTGGCGGCTTCCCCTGGTCATGCCCCCTTGGTGTTGAGTGCCCCTGGGGCTAGATCGGGGCTCAGTTACTCTGCTGCTGCAGTTAGGGGAGGTCAGGGGTCAGTGGATCGGCCCGGGCAAGGGCAGGTAACCTACCCACTTCCGCCGCAAGGCGAAATGTTGTTCAGCTGAAAATGGTCAGGGGAGGGCCCCCCCCTTTAGCAGGAGAGAGGTCATAGACCGCATATTAGAAATGGGCTTCCGTGCCGCGGATATTTTTGCGTTTATTGCTCCAGTTGGTACTGGAGAATATGACGTGTCCTTCATGCGGCCGGAATTGTTGGACCTCTTTTGGCAGAGGTATGAGGCCACCTTTGTCACCAGCCCTAGGTGGGTGGGCCTAACCCCGAGGCTCGTCTCTCGCCAGTCCCTGATTAAAAAAATAACGGTGCTGGTGAGAAATGAATCCATCCCAGCATCAGATATTGTGGTCTGGCTAAGCAGATATGGGGATGTGATGGGGCCCCTTGGGAAGATCAAGGATGAGAGGGGAATATGGACAGGTGGGTGGACGACCACCG